GAGTTAAAGAATCATTCATGTCACAACAAGTCAGGAGAAAATGACCATAAGGAGGTACTGTGCACATTTACAGTCATATACAGCAAACAGTGGCAATTATGAACGTTTTCAAATCAGTAGCAGACAGGTATATTAAAGGAATAGTTCTGCAAAACAATCTAACCTACACAATGTTCCACTTATGAAGTCGATCAGCCAAGACATGTTTGGTGTCCAAACTTTGCTTATTTAGTTTAGTGCTGGAGCTATGAGGCTAATGTTGCTAACAAACATCAGCAGTCAATAGTCACCCAAAGTGTTTCTATAAATACATCCCGAATCCCTGGAAATTCTATAGTTGTTTTGTTGAAACAGTGTTATTCTGACGGAAGATATCCTTTCAGCATGTGTTCGAGGCTCATGCCTCCGTCTAACTGTTGTGTCCACTGTTAAAGGAAGTCACCAAACAACATGGCTTTGAGTCACTAACTATTAAGTATGCTTGGTTTTAAAAGACACCAAAAGATTATGCCAAACTAGCTGCTTCTAGTTGCTTAAACTTTAAATTTAATGGAAAATATAATCAACTGTACTTCGAATAGCTCCACTCATTTTCTATGCAGTCCTCCGATTCTTTGCGTGATCGTCCTTGAAGCGCATATTGTTGCTATTGGAACAAACTTTGGATCTCCATTTTGGTTGTTTTTACACTTTCATTCTAACAGCTGCTGTCTAAGCTGTGTCAAAAGATACAAGGTTTTGTTTCAACAGTAAAGATATGTATGAAGGTAGTGCCGTTTCTAAACATTTAGGGGGTCCTGAGTGGAGTCCTCCTTGGGGGGGGCCCCCATCGCAATCCAAGGATATTATTTTGTATGCAAGAATGAAAATGAATTTGTACTTGTGTTTAATCAGTTTAATAAATGCTAATGGAAACATAACATAATACTTACGGCTATACAGGGAAAACAGTTTTTTTAAACAAGAAAAAAACAAGAAATGAAACTGACCATTAATAGTAAGAAACGGCCCCGAATTAAGGAGAGAGATGTATGCTGCATTTTTCTATGCACATGGACCACGATCTGCTTGTTTAATCTGATATGACAGACTCATACATAACACACGAGCAGAATGTGTCCAGCTTGTGTAATGGATATTACACAAGGCCAGAGCAATTCATATCATAAATAGTTTGCCAATAAATAGAAGAAGTCTTTTCAGACAATAAGCGTAATTTAGGCAGGAGGAACTCTTTCACAGAAGACCGTGATGGTGAAGAAGCAGCTTCTCATGGAATCCTGGGTTCATCTTTTTCATATTCCGCAATCACAAGTTCTGCTGGATGGACGAACGGAGGTTTAGAAAGAAAAATAGCAATTAAAACAATAACTAGTTTGTCTAAAACATAACTGAATGTGGCTGTTTGATTGAAGTCTTTTGATTTTGTTTATGAATGTGCGTACCTCCGATATAGATGCTCACCTGTCTGTGTATCCATTTTGAGAAGGATGCTACATTGGTGTAGACGCCAGGCTTGTTTGGCTCCCCACATTTAACTCCCCAACTGACTATTCCAGCAAGATACCAGAGCCCATTCTGAGCCTCACACACCAAAGGACCCCCACTGTCCCCCTGCAGAGAGAGAGAGAGACAGAGAGATAGTGATAATGATTGACACATGGCATGTTATTAGTGAGCTTCAGAAAAATGAAATGAAGTTCATTATTGATACTGACGTTCGCACTTTAACTGTTCTCAAGTAGGCCTGTAGGTGTGTGTGTGTGTGTGTGTGTGTGTGTCTGACTCACAGTGCAAGCGTCTCTGCCTCCTTTCAGATCTCCTGCACACAGCATGCTCTGGAGGATACTGCCATTGTGGACATCTTGAGAGTTACATTTGGTTCGCTCTATAATGTCCACAGATACCTCCATCAAGTCACTGGAGTATGTAGCCTCACTATCTATCACTTGCACAAAAGATAAACACATACACCAATCAGGCATAACATCATGACCACCTCCTTGTTTCCAGGGATGGGGGAGTAGTTAAGTAGCGCGCTACTTTTTGTAGTTAGCTACAGATTTATGTAGCTAGTAGCTGTAACCGCTACAGTTTTATGAAACGCAGCTAACAGCTGTAGCGCCTACACATTTTTGTGTAGCTATGGCGATAATTTTCGATACAATTTTGCTACAGCCTTCAGGCAATCCACGAAAAATCTGAACCACAGAACGCGGCTGTTAACTGTGGCGAGTGCAATCCTGACTGAGCCACGGACAGTTCCAGCAAACGGTCACACGCTGATCACCCTTTAGCAGGCTTAACTCAGGGGTCGCAGCTGAAATGTTAAGAAGAGTCACTTTGTCCTTTCAACAAAAATGAAACCACCTAAGGAGCCACAACAGTTTATGTCCATTTTACCATCTGGGCTGTAAATATGTCTCAGTATGTGCTGATGTACGAGTACAGGCTAAAAATGAAATAAACAAAAACGCAGACTTACTTTGCTCTGCTTTAAGCTTTAAGTCAGCTGTTTTTCTCGCATCTCGGGAAACCTCTCCATGAGTTTCTTGTAAAATGTCCCTCAATGTTCGACTTTTTACGAGGCTGAAGTCGCTTTTCATTCTCCTGTTTCTCGTTCGCATTGTCCCGTTCCACTTTAAATGGTGCCTGAGGTGCAAGATCGTACTGCTGCGCCGGTTAAGGTGGAACGGGACAATTCGAACGAGAAGCTGGAGAATGAGAAGCCGACTTCAGCCTCGCGAGTTGTTGCAGATTAAACATATGAGGAAACCAGCTGAGTGATTATGAATGTAAATAAGTCTGTTCATCTCCAAAACATCAATGTTCATCTTAAATCTTTCTCTTTGCCGTTTCACTGTCTGCGTTGCTGTGTGACCAGCAGTCTGCACGTCAGTCTTCAGCGTTAAAGGTTGGTGAATTAGCAGTTCTACATTAACTCCAGCGTTTAAGACCATTTATTGTGAAAACTGTGTTAGAACTGTGTGTTACAACGATTTTACAGTAAAAGAGGATTATGATACCTGATTTACCTGAAAATTTAGTTCTGCTGTGGAGCCGCAGCAGCTCTGCAGCAGTGGAGAGATTATTCAGGCCTTATTCTCACCCCAAACAGAACCAGAGTCACTGATGAGGATTTTGAGGCTAAAGTGCTAAAATGCAGTATCTTGTTCACACTGTCAGTTGGGCTTGTTTGGTGTGTCAGGTGGAGATTCACAAACATTCTGACAATCGCGCTTTGAAAGTAGCTAAAGAGTAGCCACTACTTTTTCTGGAAGAGTAGCTAAAATGTAGCTGCTGCAAATTTTGGGAAAGTAGCTACAAAGTAGCGAACTGCTAATTTTTCAGTAGCTATCCCAACCCTCCTCGTTTCTAAGCTCATTGTCCATTTTATCAGCTCCACTCACTATATAGGGTCACTTTGTAGTTCTACAGTTACAGACTGTAGTCCATCTGTTTCTCTGCATACTTTGTTAGCCCCCTTTTACCCTGTTCTTCAGTGGTCAGGACCCCATGGACCCTCACAGAGCAGGTACTATTTGGGTGGTGGGTCATTCTCAGCACTGCAGTAACACTGACGTGGTGGTGTGTTAGTGTGTGTTGCGCTGGTCTGAGTGGATCAGACACAGCAGTGCTGCTGGAGTTTTTAAACACTGTGTCCACTCACTGTCCACTCTATTAGACACTCCTACCTTGTCAGTCCACCTTGTAGATGTATAGTCAGAGACAGTAGCTCATCTGCTGCTGCACAGTTTGTTGGGGGGAGCAGGACCCTTACCCAGCGGTCATTGGGCGAAAGGCAGGATACACCCAGGACAGGTTGCCAGTCTATCGCAGGGCCAGTGCACGGACCAGAGCCTGTTTAAATTCTCTGTGATAGGTGAGTTTCTGAAAACTGTGGTAATTTTAGCGTGCAGTTTACATCAGACAGTGTGTGTACTTCTGTGCCTGAGGCTGAACCTTACTGAAGTACAACACAATGTCTCACATCTCAAATCACATCTGCCACCCCAGCCCCTATTAGCAAGCTACTAACAAAATACTTTCCACTGACATCTAGAACATTTGCCTTATTTAATGTGGTATGATGGCAAGTTGACTAGTCAATTACTTTTTTTCAAAAAGTTGTGCAGCCCCTATGACAGAGTATCTACAACTTACAGTGTGTTAAATTAATTATATGTTCACGTCTGTGAAACTGTGTTGTAAACTCCAACACTACAAGTTTACATGAACTAAGTCATGAATGTGTGTTATGTACTATCAGTATACCTAGTCTGCCCCATGCATGGGTCTACATTTGGGCCTACTCTTTATTTTCTCACTCTCATAACTACATAACTGATATATTAGTTACCAAATACTTTACAGTACCCTCTCAAAAATAAAGGTTCTTAAATGGTTCTTGGCTTACACATACAAATCCAGGTTCTTTATACTCACACATCTCATTTACACAAAACGGTTCTTTAAAGGACCTTTCAGGGCAGGGCAGTGGTTCTCAAACTGGTCCTCAGGAACCCTGAGACGGTTCAAATTTTTTGCTCCAACCTAACTTAAAACATATAGGAATAGAGCAAAAATGCAGGTAATCTGGGGGTCCCTGAAGACCGTTTTCACACCCACTGCTTTAGGTGGTTCTTCTATGACAAAACTCTAAAGAACAGTTTTGAAACCTTTATTTTTAAGAGTGTAGTTACTGAATAATTTGTAGTGGTTATTAAACAATAAGTGTTAAACAAAAGGAGGTTAAATGGGCCACATGGAGTAAACAGATAAATAGATTACAGTGTACTGTAGCACACACATACACAGAGATAAGAGTAGAGGGAAGAAAGAGAGAGACTTACTGGTTTTCCCAAATCCTGCTACCCAGCATTTTGTTCCATGTGGAAAAATATGGCCAGGAGACGGCAGACACACAGAGTGGATTTTGTCTATACATAAAGAATATTTACAAGAAATTGTAAAGCTCAAAAATCAGGAGCATTTAACGTCATACCATTACAAAGTCAATGCGCTGCACTAACACTAGCTCAGAATGTGTTGCATTTTGGTTTAATTACACATTCAAGTAGACCATTATGAAAAATAATATATGGGTCTAACTGAAAAACAATAAATGGGCACAATTCAGGTTTAATAAGGACTGAGTGGACTAACCAGAGAACTGGACGGGCTGGCTGAGTGTCAACAAGGCAATGTCGTTTCTGACACTGTCCTCATTATAATCCTTGTGTAAGATGATCTCTTTTATTTTGTATGGCTTGGCCAGTTCATTCCGTCTGACCATGCCAACATACACCTGCCAGTAATCCTTATGGTCTATACTGTGAAAACAAGATAATAATCAGACATGTGAAGTATTTTAAAGTTACTTTTACTTTTTCCATTTCATTAACAGTCTGATCAACTGGATACCAGATTCATTACACAGGTCTAATAGTTTCATTGTGTCATGCTCAAATTTTCTAGTTTTATGTATGTATTAGACAAGGAAAACAGTGCAACTGTTTACAAAGCACTGCTACACTATTTGAGGTTAAGTGGAATGAGATTATACGGTTCCTATAAATCAACTTCCATTTTTCGATAAACCTGAGATTGTTCATAGGATAATTCAAGAGATCAAATACTGATATGGCAATTATAGTACATACTTGTCAAAGCAATGGGCTGCTGTTAGCACTTGACGATCGCTCACAAGAGAGCCCCCACAGCCGGCACTGCCATGTTTCAGTCTGACAAACCAAGGCCATTTCACATGCTTAGGCCGTTTGCCATTTATTATCCTTTTCTCTCCATCTGATGAACAAAAAAGAGAGTGCTGCTAACATCAGAATTCAATTCAAATGTTGATGCTGTCATAAAATGCACAAAGATACCTGTCTAAAAGACAATGAATGTAAAAGATTAAGATTAAAATACATTTAATAGTTGTGTGAATCAGGCTTAACTCGACGTTATAGCTACACTCATTGGCCATTTTATCAGATATACCGCACATATTGATGTACAACGTACAATTACTGAATGTAGATCATCAGTAATCATCAGTAATCAGTTAATGCACAATTTATCTGCTCCCTCCACCCCAGCGGACCACCACAAAGGCCAGATATTATTCAGCTGGTGGTCCATTCTCAGCGCCACAGAGGTACTGATGTGGTAGGGTGTGTGGTGCTGGTGTGTTTTTACACATCAGTAGAACTGCTATATGAAAATAGCATTAACCACAGTCTGGTTATTTGCAGTAACTCTGCCTAGTAAATATGACTGTAACACACCAAAATGCTTATATTTGCTGTCAATTTATACTTTCCATAAAGAAAAATGAGGCAGCAGTGGGAGAAGCTGTGTTCAAGGGAGAAGTGTAGAGTAGAGAAGTACTGTATGTAAAAATAATATTAACCAGAAAAAAACAAATGAGTTTGAGTTTCCAATCACATCTATGTAAATATTATGGGATGTTAATGGAGAATGTGCTGTAGATGGTTCTATATAGCACCAAAAAGGGTTCCTGTAATATTACAAGCACTGTAAAAAGTGTAACAGGGTAGAAGTTATTTTTTAAGTGTTTTTGAGGGTTGAATTGATTTAAAATATTGCTTTTGTTCAACTAAACTAAAATTTTGCTTTACGTTGTTTACATTTACGGCATTTGGCAGACGCTCTTATCCAGAGCGACTTACAGTTGGATCATTTTTTTACACAGGGAGGCGAGGTTAGTGTTAGGAGTCTTGCCAAAGGATTCTGATTGGTAGAGTGTGGTGTGCTTGACCAGGTGGGGGATTGAACCCCAGTTTACATCATAGAAGGCTACACTTTACCGACCCCATTGTGGCATTCAAAGTGTTTATTTCGGTTGAACAAAACCAGTTGTTACTACATGAAGTAATTTTTTTAGTGTGTGTAGGTGTCAAACAGCATTCTTTGCGATACTAACATCAACAATGTTAGCATTTCTACCCTGCCTTGACTGCCCTGATAGGGGGCAGTCATGGGCTGGAGGTTAGGGACCCAGCCTTGTGACTGGAAGGTTGCCGGTTTGATCCCCTGAGCTGACAGTATGTGACTGAAGTGCCCTTGAGCAAGGCATCTAACCCCCAACTGCTCCCTGGGTGCTGTGGATAGGGCTGCCCATTAGGGCTGTGCTCACTGCCCTCAAGTGTGTATGTGGTGTTTCACTGCATGGATGGGTTAAACGCGGAGGTGAAATTTCCCTGTTGTGGGACTGATAAGAGTCACTTAGTCTTTTCTTAAGTTTAGGATTTAGCAATAGAACAGTATGGAATTCTGCCTAGCAGAGTGATAGAACAGAGCTATTTTTCTTATACTGTAGATTTAATTATGGCCATTTCTGAGCAATGTCAAATAAGCAATATTAACTTAAAATACGTAGTTAAAGGCGATACCTTACCTAGAATGAAGACAATGATCAGTCCTAGGACCAGTACCCATAAATTGCAAGTTGTTCTAGATATGAAATAATTAAAAAGAAGACATTGAATATGTTTATTTTTGCTATCCTCACTTAAAATCATCTTTCTTTTAAATCATTTTTATTTATAAGCTTTTATAGTATATAAAACAAACTAACTTGTTTCTTGACTGATAAGATGGGAGCTCTGGCCTCTGTTGTCCCTCAGGTCCTCTGAATCTGAGAAAATGGAGAGAACTCAAACTGTGCTCCTGCAACTGCATCACTGTACCACTGGCCCCAAATAGAGAAGGATGCTTCTTCTCTCCAGTTACACCTTGATTTAATTAGGGATGCACTGACATGGTCTTTCTGGGCTAATGCATGAGATCAAAGCCATTCCTAACAGTAAGTGAAAGTAGCACTCTGAGTCTTGCCCAAGGACTCATTGTGGCATTCTATTATTGGCATAGTTGTGTGTGTGTGTGTGTGTGTGTGTGTGTTGTGTGTGTGTGTTGTGTGTACTTTATTTGCCTGATTGGGATCTTTAATTCTCTTTGCTACTACACTTGACTACACGGGCGTCAGAAAAGGCGCGCGCTGAAAGAGGACTCTAAAATATCAGGTAAGATCAACTGTAATTCCAATACAAATAGTTTGTAGGTGACAAATTTATTGTACACCCCTAGATTTAGTCACCACTGAGTGAGAAGTGTGTAAACAGTCTTTTCAGGAAGCAGTGAGTGGAAAAAAGTGCATCCTAGTCAGCTATTTATACAGTTATTGCAGTCATTCAAATATATTTGAACGTGTTTTGCGTTTGCTTTTTAATGTTTGGAGTCAGATTAATTCAGAATTTTTACCCATTCTGCTGTTGCTTCCATCATTGGAGAGCAGGGAAGACAAAAAGCCCTAAAAAAGACTTTGTCTCTATTAAAATGCTGGGTTTTTATTTGCCTTTTGATGCCAGTGTGAGGGCAGGTTCACACTGATCTGTCATCACTAATAAAGATCAGCAGCTGTGGTATTTTTGGAGATCATATACTCTAAGAAGTGACTAAGTACATTTCTGCATGTTCAGCATTTCTATGGAGTCATTTTCTAAGGTGACACAGTGACACATTATTTTTTTAATAAGCCATGGCCACAAATTTCTATATTGAGGCCACAAATTACTATTGATGTCGCAAATTAATATATTCAGGCCATAAATTAATATATTGAGGCCACAAATAATATAGCAAGGCAACAAATTGATATATTGAGGCCACAAATTACTATTAATGTCACAAATTAATATATTGAGGCCACAAATTAATATATTGAGGCCACACATTAATATATTGAGGCCACAAATTAATATATTGAGGCCACAAATAATATATCAAGGCAACAAATTGATATATTAAGGCCACAAATTACCATTAATGCCACAAATAATATATTAAGGCAACAAATTGATAATTGAGCCCAAAAATTAATATATTGAGGCCACAAATAAAATATTAAGGCAACAAATTGATTTATTGAGGCCAAAAATTAATATATTGATAGGAGAAACTTAACTTGTGGCCTCAATATATTGAGGTGCGGCCTCAGTTTACTAAACCGTTTACCTCTTCAATTATAAGCAGCTAGTCTTTATGCTGGTTATACTGTATCTACAGCGTTTGTTCCAACACTAAAAAATGAATGAAGGTTGACGTTCCTAACGGAGAGACCATTTCTGTTATGATTCTTTTATAAATGCCTGTGGGTCACATCCACACGTAAACATACACATGTAAAAGACTGCTATCCCTGGCAGATGAACTGTAGTGTGACCTAAAAAGAACATTTTATCCTAATATTAATCTCTATGTGGGAATGCTGACAAAGACACACCTATGAAAAAGAAGTAAAACTACATACCTCCTCATTTTTGATGGGAAAAAAAAAGATCAAATCAATCATCAGAGGAAGATTAAAAAACTTCTGCTGTCCCACCGGGCATCAAAGGCAATATCTGATGAAGTTGTCACTGTTACATCACACTTCCTCTAAAGAACCTGCTTTACCTGTAGGACTAGTGCAGGTGTGATTTGACTGTATTTCAATCTAAGAGCACAACACAAAACACACTCCTGAGATATTTCAGGAGATCTTTGACTGATAAGATGTGAGGTGTGAGATCTCTTGTCTCCCAGGTCTTCTGAACCACACACAACACATCATTTGACCGTATATACTGTATATGCAGTGAGCATAAGACAGGTTAACACTGCAAAGATAGATCACTGAATTTATACATAGTCATGATGTAATTATAGTACATATTAGTGCCAAGGACTCTTATTGTGGCTTTCTCTTATTGGTATAGCTCTGTGTGTGTGGGTGTGTAGGTGTGTACTTTATTGTCTGTTTATTGCGGTAGCTTTAATTCCCTTCAGCTAGTGACTACATGGGTCAGTGTATGCGCGAGCTGAAAGAGGATGCTAAAATATCAGTTAATATTATCCAATACAAATTAAAATAGTTAACTATTTAGTTAGTTGGTGACAGATTTACCACACACCCCTAGATTTCAGCACCACTGAATGGAAAACATGTAAGCAGACTTCTCTGAAAACAGTGAATGGAAGACCAGTGCATCCTTGTTGGTTACCTACACAATTATTGCAGTCATTCAATTCGATATTTGTGTTTCTCTTTTTGGGTTTGCTTGTTAATGTTTGGAAGAACCAAGTAGATGTTGATTCCTTGATTATTTAAGGCTTTCAATTAATCAATTAATTGTTTGGTTTTTTTTTTGTTTTTTTTTTTACATGTGGATATCACACTTAGTTTCACTCAAATTGATGTAGACAACGTGAACATGTGTATGACTGGAGCACAAATGTGATGTAGCATGACTAATTATTGACTATCATTAAGTATTTGAAGCTGAATCATTACGTTGACAGGGCCAGATGTGATCTGGTATCTAGAATACACATCTGGGTAGAACTTGTTGAACTATTGGTGATGGATTGTGGCAAAATCTGCCGATAACATACACTCCCTCTGAGCCCCGCTCCCAAATTCCTCCAGTCCAGGGGTGTCAAACACAACCACTAAAAGGGTCATATTAAAAAATCTCATCAAATCTGTGGGCCAGATGTGCTTTTATTTTATTTTTATTTAACATTTTGCCGTGACCCAAAGGGGCCATTGTTTATTCAAAATATGCCAAAATTGCAACAGCAAAATAGGCATTAAATACTCATTCAAAAATAATTCTAAATAAAAATAAATAGTTTTAGGTTATTTTTTTAACTGCCTATTCGCTTGAACTAAATACCAGACATCTTTTTGTGTAACTGCTGGCCCAGAGACTGCTGTTGGGGGAAGGGGGTCAGAACACACACTCTGTTGCAGTGCATACTGGGGACCGTAGTGCATCTCAGGGTGAAACGGGCTAATAAGAATAGAAAATTAACATAATTTCGAGTGCCAAGTAGGACTGTGTCATGGGCCTGACTTATGTTTGACACACGGGTCCTAGTCCATGCCATTTTAACGTCCAGGGTATGATCATTGAGCTCAAATGCAAATCAGATTCCTAAATATAGCTGCCAGTACTTTTAACTTTTATCAAGAGTCCAGCTTTTTTTGGGGGACTTTTCAGTCATGCTAACTTGTGTTTCATCCATGACAGGCTTGTTGCCTGTTGGACAATGTTGACCACTGTGAGAGGACACTCTGAGTGACTTCGTTCACATCTGAACGACTCAATTCTG